TTTGTTGGGGGGGGGGGGGGGGGGGGGGGGGGGGGGGGTGTCAATCCTGTCTCACACCTGCATCCATCACCCAATAGCGGGAAGCCTCTGATGGAAAGGGGGGGGGCAATCTGCTGGGGGCACTTTTACAAGCTTGAGGTTATTTTTATTAATACACAACAAGAAAGCTTATTGGCCTTTTAGGCATCTATTTAAGGAGCAGGCAGAAGATTGTGAAGTAAGAGCTCTTTGATTTTCTTGTTTACAGCCCCATAAAAATGACCTGACCCTGATTACCACCACCTACTTAGAGCATTTTTTCATGTTCCATTCATGGGGGGGGGGATGGTGTCACTTACCGCTGCCTGAATTCGGCCCACTGGCCTGTGTTTCACTCTATGGACTTTTGGGCCTGTTACAAAGATGAGTGGCTACAGCAATGAGCAGAGACAGGAGCAGCTGGCTGACAATTCATGTACTAATACCCCCAATAAGCATCATTTGGAAGCTTAATTATTCCCAACCCCTCCTCCCATCTCAGATCAGCCCCCCCCTCCCCCAGTGCCGCACAGGCTGTTAACCAGGAAGAGCTACTCCAGTGCACAGACACTCCTACCAGGCTCCAACCACGAATACAACCGCTAGTTAAAACACCCATGAATATTTCCTGAGGTTTAGATGTCAGTGGTACTGGGGGGCGGGGGGTGCTGTTAGAGCTGAGTGTTGATTGGGTCCAGTCTCTAGACATAGCTGGTCTTCTTGGGGCTGACCGTTGATTGGGGAATGGGATTCCCTAGAACTGAGTGCCGATTGGCCGTTGTTTCTGTGGGCGTGTTCGGCGGGGCCCAGGTAAGCTGATGTTGCCGTGTTACTCTTGCAGGTGAGAAGCCGTACAAATGCTCGTGGGAAGGCTGCGAGTGGCGCTTCGCCCGCAGCGACGAGCTGACGCGGCATTACCGCAAACACACCGGCGCCAAGCCCTTCAAGTGCAACCACTGTGACAGGTGAGATGCGCCAACAGTCTCCTGTACATACGCTCCTCTGCGCGATCACCTGCTTCTGTTTACCTACACTCCTGTCCTCAGGAAACACGAATGCACATATAAACAGGTAGCATGCTTTACGGGTTCTGTCATCGCTGACACACCATATTACACACAGCTACTGCTCTTCAGCCTCCCAGTCAACATCATTTCACTCCCCAGTCCTTCCTCGTTCATGTCATCCACCAGGATATTATAGAAGATAATAGTGTTACTTTACCCGTGGGGAAGTAGTCTTTCTGCGTACCCCGTCTTGGTCTCCTTGACGCATAGACACATACACAGGTGTGAGGGTGAGAGTAAGTTTGGGGGTCATAGCATTCATCACTCTGGAGCTGGGGGGTTAAGGGCGTTACTCAGGGACCCGACGGCGGCATCAGTCTGCCTGATCCGAGATTCGAACCCGTAACCTTCTTAACCTGCTGAGCCACACACTTCTCCCTTCTGTGGGGATGATTTTAGCACAGCTTGGAGAAGCGAGATGATCATGAGCAACGCGCATTCAGTGAACAACCGCGTCGTACCGTGCTGCGTCTGTGGGGATCGATGGTGCTGCTTTCGGCAGGGATGGATGTGGGGAGGATGCCCGTCTTGCCCTTGTCAGGACCCCCTTCGCTAACGGTGCCTTCTGTTCTCATTAGTTTAACACCCTCAGACAAACGGACGTCTCTGCCACTTGGTCCATCTAGCAATGACTTTTAACATGACAATGAGAGCCAGTGTGGCGGGAGTCCTTTGGGGAAGCGTGGGGGACACATAAGGTGTCAAAATGGCCAGCATACGCACATGCCACCACCCGTGTAAAAGAGCTGTGATTAATACAGTCAGATCAAGCCTCACCCCCCCGTCCCAGAGCCAGGGCTGCAGGTGCCAGGTTTCCGGCGAGCGGGCGGGCGGGGAGACCCCACCGAGTTTGACCTCACTGCTCTACCCATGCTGGCCGACTCAGGAAGGGAAGCGCACCTCGTACACCCACACGCCAGCTCCCATCTCGGGGGGGGGGGGCGCGTGGGGGGCAGGGTGATGCTAATTTACCGAGACGTGCTCGGCGGCGACCTGCACTTGGCCTGCTTTCATCTACAAGGGTCACGAGCGGAGATTTTGAGGGCGGAGGATGTGGAGTGTGAGTCGGGGAGGCCTGCGGGTCGCTCTCTTCTCGCTCCAAGCTGCAGCCTCCCGCACCCCCCCCCCCCCCCCCCCCGGAAAAATGTCTATTGTGTCTCGGCGTGATTCAGACTTCAGAGTGTTTCCATTTCGGTTCACACCAGTTAATAATAGATGTAGCCGGGGGCAAATTTAATTTTCAAAAACCATTTATCATTTTTCCCCCCACATTTTGTTTTCCTTTGGTCTTGTTCATTAAAATTTAAATTTATATTATTACGCATACAGACCTAGTACCGCAGCCCTTGTGGACACCTACGTGTGGAGCTTTCCTTCTAGTGTCAGCGGAAGATCTGAAATAGTTCGACACTGACTCCTGATTAGGGAGCCAGAGTCCCTTCAGACACCCTTGGGAACTTTCACGCTGGTTACTGTGCTAAAGCCCTATTCACTTTCCTTTCTCCATAAATGTTTACTTGTATGCAAGGGCTCTAGCTGAATGGGCTGCAGAGTTTCAGGTGCTGAAGAAGCATTCGGCGCATCTAATTCATTATTCATTTATGAGGCGGCACTCTGTTAATATGAGAAAACCTCTGTACCCTGCACTTCCAAAGCAGACAGTGTTGCCTGTGGCAGCATTGACTGTTTATTGCATAGCATTTCCCTTGTGGTTAACACTCCCTTATACGGTGCGTAATGGATTATTGGCATGGCGGACACTCCTACCCAGAATACCCCACAGTGGTTATGGAGATGCAAGCCCCGCCCCCAACATGCCTCTGACTCCGTCTGTCCTTTTATCTGCAGGTGTTTTTCCAGGTCAGACCACCTGGCCCTGCACATGAAGCGGCACGTCTGAATCAGCGCGCGCGGATGTTTGTGTGTGTGAGCGTGAGAGAGCGAGAGAGAGACGACGAGCAGAGTGGGGAGCGTCGGCGCTCCGTTCAGGGAGGACACCCGACGAAGACCATCTCGGGGGGACGTCGGAGGGCCGTCCAGAATGCGCCGAGGCGGCAGAGGGCAGCGTGACGGAGTGACAGCTAACGGGCTCGCCTTTAACATATGCACACAGCCCAACCATCTCCCTTTCGTCAGCAGATTAGCCATGCCTTACCTGGCTGGAGCTGGGAGTCAGACACTGCCAAGCAATTTTGCTGATCCAAGTTATTCCCCATTTACTGTTTTTTTCCATTACATAAAACCCAGAGAGACTTTGGAAAAAGAAAAGCAGAAAGAACATTTGCAGACGTTGAATGTCAGCTCACGGAAGTGGCGGGACTCTTGAGGTTTCGGTTAAGGTCTTAGGATAATTCTTTTGTGATTTTTTTTTCCCCTTCTGTTTTCCAACTCTCATGGGTCATTTTCACAGTCTAAAAACTGCAGTTATCTCAACCACAAAAAAGGCCACTAGACTTAACATCTACATGGAGAAGCGTGGCAGCAGAAGCCTTGGGGCACTGAAGCCGATGAGGGGGAGTGTTTAAAGGGCAGGACCCCTGTTCTCTCACCGTCAGGCGTGTTACCCACCCGGCAGACCCAAGATCGGCACAGAAGCACATTCTCACCTTTTAACAAAGCAGCTCTCATGTCTTTTATTCGTAATTTTAGGTAATTATGTCTTAATACACATTTAATTGTTTGCTCTCTTTCCGGAAGGCAGAATGTCCACATATGGAGGAAAATATAAACTCTGCAAGAAAAACAGAGGAGATGAAAGGAAACTTTGAGGAACGGCTTCATGGTTTCTGGCACAAAATGAAAGCAAGTTCTGTTTTTCATTTTCTGTTCTTGAATTTTTGTCAAAACAGTTGTCTACAAAGCAAACTTTGGACAGGTACCATAGCCAAAATCCCCACTGGAGAGTTAGACGAAGGTGTGATGCAGGCTGGCACCAGTGACTCGAACGTTTGTCTTTGAACAAGGTGCTTATCCATGCCTTCGGGAACTATAGCACCCCCCGCTTGGCCAGCAGGGCAATGCAAGTTTCAAAACTGTTAACAGTTTCAATGTTGCCTGTGCATTTTTCAAACAGGAAGATGAAGACTCATGAAAAACCCAAAAATACAAAAAAAAAGAAAACTGGTCACATATACAGACAGGACAATTTCCATGCTGGACGTGCATGGAGGTGTTAGGGGTTAAGTACACACACACAATTCAAAGCAAAACACTGCATGGTGAACTCACGTACAGATTGCTACATACTTTTCCTGTCCCAGAACTTTCACAGTAGAATTTTAGGGTTTTTGTTATATTACTTGGGACTGTGACTTTGGAATTAGAAATGAGCACATTACCACCTTTTCTCCTTTTTCACTGTAACACAAAGCATGTTTCCAGTTAATTCTAATGGCATTATTATGAGTCCATTATCATCACCATACTCTGCTATCTTGTGGTCATCACCATACTCTTCTTTCCTCCTCGTGGTCATCACCATGCTTTGCCATGATTGTCATGGTCATCACCATGCTCTGTTATCTCATGGTCATCACTATGCTTTGCTATCCTTCTCATGATCATCACCATGCCGTGCTATTCTCCTTGTGGTCTTCACCATGCTGGCCTTCTTGCCGTCTTTACCATGTTTTGCCATCCTCCTTTTGGTCATCACCATGCTCTGCTATCCTTCTCATGGTCAACAACATGCTGTGCCATCCTCCTCATAGTCTTCATTATGCTCTTCTATCCTTCTTGTGGGCTTTACCATGCTCTGCTATCCTTTTTGTGGTCATTACCATGCTCTGGTATCCTGCTGATGGTCATTACCATGCTTTTCTGTCTGTCATGTGGTCTTCACCATGCTCTAATATCCTTTCTGTGGTCTTCACCATGCTCTGCTGTCTTTTTTGTGGTCTTCACCATGGTCTGGTATCCTTCTTGTGGCTGTGACCATGCTCTGCTATCCTTCTCATGGTCTTCACCATGCTCTGGTATCCTTCTTGTGGTTGTGACCATGCTCTGGTATCCTTCTCATGGTCTTCACCATGCTTTGGTATCCTTCTTGTGGTCATGACCATGCTGTGGTATCCTCGTGGTCATCACACTCTCTGCTGTCCTTCTGACTGCATGGACCTTTGCAGAGAGGGCAACCCATGCTGGATGTAACCGATCCTCCTGGACAATCCTGTACAGCCTTCAGGGAGCAGTGCCACCCAGCCTGGCCAATACCAAAAACCTGTAGCACGTACCTGCCAGCATGTGGTGCCAGGGTCAGGGGTCTTTCACATGGCACCACTGCCCCCTGTGTGCCCACCACAAGCAGACCGACATCCTTTCTCCACGACTTGCCACGTACATACCTATTTCAACTGTCTGTTTTTCTACTAATAGGATTGTTTTCTTCAACACTAAGAACTTATGCCAAATTTTTATTGGGAAGTGGGGTATATTTTCTATGTTTACATACAATGGAGTTGCCATTGTGGCACTGCTAGTGCGGGATGGCGTGCAAGCCTGTGTCTGTGTGTCTGTGCCCAGATGTGGTGATGGTCGCTGTGGTAATGCTTCTGCATCACTATGGTCTTGTGGTGGCATTGCAGTGAGACTGTAGTAACATATGTCCTGGCCACCTGGTCAGAACAGTGAGCTCCTTGATGCTGTTGGCCTTGTTGTTCATTGTACTTGGACTTTACCTTTGACTGCCAAACAGAGGAACAGTCTCCTCTTTCAGATCCACCTTCCCTCTGCTTATTTATGTAGCTTGGTAGCTTGTGCCGACACTGTCATCCTAACCCTCCAAGCTGTACATGTCAGTCAGTATCTGTTCCCAGTCTCTACTGCCCAACGATGCCAGTCTGAGTTATGATGAGTAGCATGAGGTTGCTGAAGGGGGAATGTAGCTCTGACCTTGGGGATATCTTTTTGCAGAGTAGTTAAATGCTGATTGGGAAATCCCATCCAATTTACCTGTTTGTCAAAGCAATTCCTGTCCTTGTGCAACTTGCGACACCACAATCATTTTGTGAGCGTGGCCACATAATTGTGGTCTCCCTCCATCCAGGAACATCTGTGACTGGTAACCACATTCCTGCACAGTTTCCTCCAAAGGGACAGAAATGATTCAAGTGAATGTGGTTATGGATAGAAGGGAAGGCTTTAAACCAACAGAAATTGTACAAAACAAGGCACTAGCAACCACACACAAAACAGTCTGTTAGCCTACTGAGAAAATAGATTTGTCTATTTCCAAGGCAAGTTACAAAAGAGATATTAAGACAAACAAATGTCCCTCCTATTTTTGGAGGTTTGTTATGTGTCCTGTCCCATCATGTCTGGGGATGATGTACGAAGGTTGGAATCACCTCTCCAGGAAAAATGCACACTCATGCATTACACAAAAATGAGCCATAACATATAGTAATTGGAGAGTGAAGGAACAGGTGACGTTTGACCATTCTGTGCGACCTCTTCAGTAAATATAAGTGGAACAAATCCACTTGCTGCAAAGTTCGTGCTGGAATTGTATCTGGTTCTTGAAAGATACAGTGACAGCAACATTCAGCATACCAGACATACAGACAAAGTGGTCACTTTGACCTGAAGGTACCAGGCAGTGGAGGGGGGGGGGATTTTGTGTTGAGCATTTAACTGATAAAATGTTGCAAAATAGCACAGACACGGAGTCTACATGCAGGATGCACCTTACGAAGCAGGACCAGAGGCCCAACACTTCTTGTCTCAGGGTCCTGATGTCATCTGGCATTTGGCAGCTTCACACCTAACATTCCCACTCAAGCGCCGGGCAGAGGCCAATGATGTAAGCTGGTTAGATCCACCTTAAGCGTCTGGATGAGTCTTTTTGAGTCGGCGAATTGCAACACGATTATACAACACACACCAAGCGTATCCTAGCACAGCGTGTGAAAGGCAGCGAACACCTTCTCAGCCCGATGGAGACTCTGTTGGCCCACGTGCTTCGGGGACCAGATTCAAACAGCGCACCCATTGGCTGAGTTTAAGTTGAAAGTGCTGTCGGCTGTTTGGTTCCGGTTGCCCCTGAGGTGGATGGTCCGTTAGGCCGGGTTCCCAGTGCACTGCAGCGGGTTCCACCCATCCACCTGCCCTGCTCATCCTAAGTAAGTTGGTTCCCCACCAGCGTTTCTCCATCTTTTGCTGACCCTGGCTGCGCGTCGCAGATGGAGCATCTCCGAAGATCCGGCCGATCTCCTCAGCTTCTCTGTGGCCCTCGTTTCACGGCCAACAGCAGCGTCTCCCACAGCAGCTCCCTCACATTCCGACTGCAGGCTCTTTAACCAGCCATTCCGCTTCCAGGCTGGACTTCCCAACACCATTCACGGCCCCTTACTGGTCAGAGCCCCCTGAGCTCACATCATCCGCTCTCAGCTCCTCACCTACCCCCTTCTCACTTTCCCTCCTTTTTTATTTGCTGTACAAAGTGTTTAAAATATTATTTGTATTATATGATGTTAGTATGGTAATGTTCTTTATTAAGGAAAAAGAAGAATTTATTTTTGTTACTGGTCTGTTTCATAATTCTTTTTTAAATTGGTATTGTAAGATATCTATGCAAGAACCGTTCTGTGGAGCATTTTTATTTAAGAATGTAATATGTGTAATAAATGGTAGAATCTATTTGTCGTGGATTTCTTCTGTGATTGGAAACACAGTCTTTTCATAGACGACGTGCCACTCAGGAGCCTGTGTTATGCTGTATAACGTGTCACCCCTCCAGAAAACAGACTCCTGTAAGCTGGATGTATTGTAGAAGAACCAGCCAAGTTGCGGCTCCATCTCCTGGCAGTAAATAAGACTGTTATTACGAATCAGAGCTCATGAATATCTATGACCTTCATCAAATCCCCTCTCAGGGCAAAATGTATAACACATTGCTTAATTAGGGCTCGCTATTAACATGTCAATGGCCCCTCTGCCATTTCAGAAACCTCCGCCCATGACTAACAGATTAAAGAGGTAATCCGATAACTAATGGGTAATTAGGGAGCAATTACACAGTAGAAAATGGGCTCGTTCATAAATGTAGCTCTCTGAGTGTCTTGCTGGAAGGCTCCACATTCACAGCTAATTGAAAGGGACATTGTCATCAGCCAGGTGACAGCTCTAGGTGTGAGCTGGGTAACTGTGCTGGTTTTGATGCCATGTCTTCAGGGAGCTGTCTGTCAGCATAAACTACAAGGAAAACATTTCCCATTTTATGAGATGCATGCTAGTCTTAGTGCTAGCCATTTCGCTGACCGGTGTGAGGTTGGGTGTGCTGTTCCATAGCTGATCCCTGAACTGGTCCTTGTGTTGTTGGGTGTGTTATTCCACATACTGATTCATGTACTGATTCATCTTCTATTGGGTATACTGATCCATGTGTCATTGGACGTGCTGCTCTGTGTGCTGCTCCATGTGCTGTCCCATGTACTGATCCATGTGCTGATGGATGCGCTGCTCTGTGAACTGATCCATGTGCTTCTGGGTATGGCTTTCTGTGTGCTGCTCTATGAACTGAACCATGTGCTGTTGGGCGTGCTGCTCCGTGTGCTGATCCATGTGCTGTTGGGCGTGCTGCTCCGTGTGCTGATCCATGTGCTGTTGGGTGTGCTGCTCCGTGTACTGATCTATTCACTAAACTTTAGTCAGGTAATGGTATGTAGCTGAATACTGGTGCAAAAATTACCCATCAACGTGCTTAATATCATTTCAGAATCCAGTGCAGTGAAAATGTGCTTAGACTCCATTGGATATTTTATACTGAGCTTGCCCTAGGCTGTTAAACCTGAGGAACCGACAGCTCAGTGCATCCACCATGCACATTCGCACAGCCAGGTGCCCCCCCCCCCGCGGGTGCGGCTCTAGATGGGAATGGCAGGCAGTAATTAATCCGTGCCTCAGCCGGTGGGAGCCGCATGTCAGTGAATATTTAACGCAGCCGCTGGCTCACCAGCTCTGCCTTCCATTAGAGCGCTATTCACTGTCTGCTACTTTCCAGCTGCCTCTCTGGAGAGCTCAGCACGCTCTTAGATACTCCCATTTCATCACATGATCAATTATGAACCTCCTTCCCTTGAACCTGAGACACAGTATAACAGTACAACATATATTCACAAAACTCATCACGGTAATTGTCTGCCTTGTCCTCGTTGGGTCGGATAATTTTAATAAACTCATTGTGCTGATTAAAATAAATCACTAGAAAGATTCAATTATCTCTCCTTCACTGGATCAGATGAATAGGTAATTTTACTGTAGTGCTATTCAGCCCCATAACTGTAATTGAAAACTGCCGCATCATTTTCCCTAACTTTGCCATTAACATTTAGACCTGAAAGTTAATAAAAGCACCAAAACGCATGTGTAAATCTCCTTTGTTTTAAATTTAGTAAACACTGAAACAGAGTGGGGCAGTGTGTGTTTCAGTGGGTTAAGATTCTGTTCTTATGACAGGAAGTTGTCGGTTCAAATCCCATGGTCAGCAGGATGATTTCAGCATCATGCCCCCAAGCAGGGCCCCTGACTCCGACCGCACTAGGGACTGCGAGACTCAGCATTCTCAAAAAAAAACTAAAAAAAAAAAAAACCTTGTATGTTGCTTTGAATCTGCTAAATGTAGCAAATGCCAATCTGGGATTTAAACAAAAACAGAGGACTTGCATTTCCTGGGAGTTTATGACCTCCCTGAGTGAGCCTGCGTTCCATGCGGCCCCATCATCAGCAGCCAGGGCACCAAAAAGCGCTTGTTAGCACACAGAAACCCTTGAAGTAGTGGTCCCACAAAGACTCTGAGACAATGTTAGATCAGAGCTGATGGGGGTGCGGTTACCAGAATGACATTCTGCCATTACACACTTGGATATAAAACACGTGAAGACGGAGCCAGTTCTGCCGATTCCGCACATCCTATTTCAGACTCGGTGTGTAAATATTTTTACATCAAGCCTGTACAGCAAACAGACGGATAATAATAAAGCAGAAGGTAGGACCACTTTGAAGTGAACGACAGGAGGGGAAAAAAACTCAAGCAAAGACACTGTGCTCTGTGGGTCCAGTAAGGAGGTGAGCATGGGGTCTCCAGGCAGTAAATGACACAGGAAGTGCACCCCCTTCACTGCACACCAAGAGAAAGGGAGCTGTACATCGTCTATTAGTCTGTGCCCCCACCATTCCCACACTTTGACCCCCATTCGGTTTCTCATCTATGTTTCATACATGACCGACAAAAAGACAATCGGACCTGCGCTACCGTGATGATTCACTCCGACAGCCTGTCACTGGTATGTATATCCCCTCCCCGACTCAGAGACACACGCCCCAACGCTCAGGGGTGACGTCCTGCCCCAGGAGTCCTAGAGAATAAGAGGAAGGGAGAGGGCTTGACCCTCTACTGTCCAAAAGCCGGCCTCTCTGTGAACACTTCACCATCTGCCCACTTGCAGATCCTTCTCCACACACATACATAATTACTGGATCGCATACATCTTCTGTCTTTCTGTTCTCGCATCACCATGAAGAGACCTACGCTTCATCAGCTGAAAAGCTAGCAGTTGCCTGCTGTTACTAACTACTTAACCTGAAGTACCTCACCGATAACAAAATATAAAACTATAAGTGGTCTAAGTGGCTCTCTGTCTTAATGTCTTTATGCTTGCTAACAATCAGTACTGTAATAGCATAATGTAATAATGCAGCTGGGTGGCACTGGGTGGAATTGCTCAGCCCTGACTTCATTGACTTGGCTGTCCATCTGAATTTTAACATGGCTGGAATATAGCCTCCTTATCCACTTTACCTGGGGTTGCTTGAGCAGATGATGCCACTTCTGGTGATTCCCAATCAGATAAATTTGTGACTATTCCATTTTGTTTTTACTTTGTGTATTGTATTCCTATTTATTAATTTTATTTTGCTCATTATTTCACATTTTACTAAATTTATTTGCTTATTTATTCCTTATTTATAATTGCTTATTTATCTTAGATTCTCATTCCTTCTTTACGCACTTTCTTTGACATGTATACCTTACTTGTGTAGCTTTTCCATCTTTGTCTATTTTAATTGTATATGTGAAGCACTGTATGCTACATCGTTATTGTCAGCAGGGTCATTCAGCACAGATTTTGGTCCGGTGATGTCACTATTTGTTTCTGTGCGGCATTAACTCACAGATTCATTGATAGTGAGGAAGGTGGACATCGGAACAGGAAGTGGTTTTAAAGAGCTCCAGTGCATCCCTTTCTTAGAAGTGGCTATCTATGGAGCCAGGGCTGTTTTCACAGGTCAAGCCAGGCTTCTATTCAACTAATTCTCACCCACACGACTTTAGTTTTGGCGCTAAAATTGGCGGCTCTATCGTAGTCGAAGGCCATCTGTCTCCCGCTCCCACATGCTTTCGTACATCCCGGTCCTTCTCTTCCAAATGCTCCTTATCTATTTTCCCCCTTCAGACAGAGCCAGAGATCAGCGGACGGATTCTGGACCCAGAGCTGCTCCTGGTGCCCCTGGTGTCTCAGTCAGCCTACTCCGCTAATTACACTCTTTATTTAAATTTTTTTTTCTACAACCACCCAGCAGCTGCCAATGTTATATCACCAGCTGTGTCTCGGGCTGCTTGATCCCCAGGGGTCACTGCCACTTGTCTGCCCCCCCATTTGAAACGTGGACCCTGTGGCCAGATCAAAGCTTTCTCCGAAGACTTGTAGCCTGGTGCTACCAGAAAAAAGCAGAGGATGTCTGTCATACACAGTCGCCTCTGATGTACGGTCGCCATGAAATCGATGCAAATTGCACACGCGGCCGTTCAAAATGCACAATTCACAAACCAGTCTCATGCCGAGTTTGCTTTGTCTGTCAGAGAGGTGGAGGAAACAGTGCAGTCACAGTGTCTCTCGTCAGCTGGAGCCAGTGAAACGGCTATAAAGAGAGACATACTCGTGGCTCTTTCCTCTTTTGTCTTGGCTTTCATGACGGCCCATTTTCAGCAGGTGTGAGGCAGAGATGGGGCCAGACTTGAGTGAACGGGTTGGCTGAGTGTCTTGAGAAGCCTCCAGCCTGTCAACAGGGACCCTCAGAGTCACATTCACCACATCATACGTCTTTTCACCCCATCTCTCAACACGGCATCACGCCCGGCACTTTAAGACTTTATTTTACCAAAACTTGGAAATTATTCAAATGGAAAAACGAGTCACTAAAATTTCAAATAATCCACGACAGGGAGGCATACTGTACTGGGTTCCAGCAAACAGCTCTATGTTGTTCAGACCCAAGGCGTGAAGGGCGTGTATGTGTGTGAGAGCATAAGTGTTTGGGAAGTAGTCATGCACGGTGGAGGTGTCCTGCGGGGGTGAGCCACAAGTCTCAGGACAGGCTGCTGACCTCTGTGAGCTGACCTCACGCGCAGGTCCTGGTAATGTGTGAATGGAATATAATCAGTCTGTACTTTGTTGTGCAAGAATGGAACCCTTATCCGGCTAATTAGCAGTACTGAGATAACAAAAAATAATGATGAAACATTAATTAATTGCACCACTGTTGAGAAATAGTAAATAATGCTGTTTTGCGCCAACTAAACAAAAGGCATCTGCTTTCTTAAAACTTTGTTTGTTTACATTGATATTGACATTGATATT